TAAAAGCAGCCTGGTTGACAGCACCTTGGTTAAAAGCAGCCTGGTTGGTGGCATGTCGAATACCAATCACCCGACTGCCGTAGACTGGACTGAAACTAGCCCCATCGACATCAGACTGATGATTAGCAGGCGAATTGCCACCAAGCAAATTGGCATTAGCCTGGTTACCGTTATTTTGGCAGTTACCAGCCTGATTGCCTACAACACAGATTGCTGCCGGCTCGCCGCCAACAACTTAGACATCCGTATGTCCATCATCCATATGTATGATGGGATCACGGGCGACATCATTTGGTTGATTAACCATTGATTTTTTTAAAATTTAATCTAGAATTAAGATAAAATTAGAATTCTATGTGATACGAATATCATACTTGTATTAGGGGGGTACTGTAAAAAAAGTAAGTAGAACAATAATGGTTCGACGATATGTAAATAAAATTCTAAAAATTATTTTTTTTAAATTTATTTAGAAATTGTCGAGCAGCATGTTCGAGAATAAGTAAGTACAAATTTTAAAAAAAATTATTTTTTATTTTATTTACATATCGTCGAACCATTCGTTTAACGATACGTAAATATAAAATTTAAAATAATTTGTTTTTTTTATTTAGATGTCGTCCTACAATAAACTCAACAATAGTAAGTATAAAATTCTGTACAATAATTTTTATTATTTTATTTAGATAGTGTGGAACACCGTGTTCAACAACAAGTAAGTATAAAATTAAAAACAAATTATTTTTTAATTTAATTAGATATCGTCGAACGATTCCTTCAACAAGAGGTAAATATAAAATAAAAAAACAATTTGTTTTAAATTTTATATTTGCGTACTGTTGAAAGAATCGTTCACCGATATATTAATAAAATAAAAAATAATTTATTTTTAATTTTATACTTACTTATTGTTGAACAAGCTGTTCGACTACAACTAAATAAAATTAAAAAAAATAATTGTATAGAATTTTATACTTAATATTGTTGACCCAATTGTTGAACGATATCTAAGTAAAAAAAAAACAAATTATTTTAAATTTTATATTTACGTATTGTTGAAAGAATCGTTCGACAATAACTAAATAAAATAAAAAAAACTTTTTTCAATTTTGTACTTACTTATTGTTGAACAAGCCGTTCGACAATATGTAAATAAAATTAAAAAAAATAATTTTTAGAATTTTATACTTACTTATTGCTGAACGAAATGTTTGACAATATCTATTTTGGATCTCATACAATTGGTACTGAGGCCACTTGATAAAGATTTTGAGCTTAGAACATCAGAAATAATCTATTACTAGGTTGTCGTGGTAACTTATACACACCCACACCCACACCCAAATGGTCACTTTGAAACAGCAACAAAATTTATTACTGGTGATGTTGAAAATCTCTATACAATGATACCTAGACAAGGTGCATGAGAAGGATTGGGTCGATTTTGCATGAAATATTCAAAGCAAGGCAATATTGGAACATTTGCAATTGATCATATCATGAAAATGGCTCGTTTAATTTTGGATACGAATTGTTTTGCATACAATAATAAATACTATAAACAAATTCGTGGTGCAGCAATGGGTTCAGCATTTACACAAGTTTTAGCTAATATTTATATGTTTGAATGGGAACAAGATCTAATTCAATATCAAGAAAAACATAATGGAATATATGGAAGGTTAGTAAAAATAATTTTTATATAGAGAAACTTTTATTCCATAATTCATCTTTTTTTTTGATATATCGATGACATTTTCCTGACAACAAAGAATTCCATCGAAGAAATCTATCGTGAACTTGAAAAAGCACAACATAAAGATATTAATATTAAAATTACAACTATAATAAGTACATCTGTACATTTTCTCGATGTTACTATTACAAATGGGAATGGAAAATTAAGAACATCGATTTATCATAAACCAACGACTGAACCATATATTTTATCCTATACATCTGACCCTCCACGTCATATTCATCGTAATATTCCATATGAAGCATTATTACGTGCTGCTCGAATTTGTTTACATGTCAATGATTTTTATTTCGAACGCATTCGTATTGATATGTCATTATTATTCAATCATTATCCACCAAGTTATATTAATAAACAAATCAATCGATTCTTTCGTTTAAATAATGCAATGTCGGTATTACATGAATTAAACGAAGATGTTTACCATCATTTACATCAAACATTATTACGTCAACCAACACGTCGTGAGAAAACACTTATAAACATGATGCATCATCCAACTGTAAAATCATTAGTATTACAATCAAAAATATGGAATAAAGAATTAATGTATCCATGCTATATGTATGATACTAGTCTCACTAGCCATTTACCGAAACAATTTTACAAATGGTGGAAAACAAATTATGCATTTCCTGGATCACCACTCCAAGACATAAAAATTCAGCTAGTCGCAAATATAAATCGTACTTTGGAAAGCTTCTTCATTCATAAGAAACCTCCAAGACAAAGAGTCGTGTCACATATCCAGAAAATCGGGCATGCTGGAGATGCCACGAGAGATGCGAGAGATGCCAAATTGCCTCATAACATACTGTTCATTTACTACATATATCTACAATTCCTGTCAGACATGCATCTCCTATAGAGACGCGGCATCTTCTGTAGAGACGCGGCATCTTCTGTAGAGACGCGGCATCTCCAGCACATCTCCACAGGGAGATGCCGCATCTCTCAAATCTCCATCTTCCTGTATCTCCTGATCAAATTTTTTTCTCCATTTTTAGGCTTGGACCCTTGAGGGAGATGCATCTCCCTAAGGAGATGCGGTATCTCCTGTAGAGACACGGCATCTCCAGCACATCTACACAGGGAGATACCGCATCTCCCAAATCTCCATCTCCCTGCATCTCCTGATCAAAAATTTTTTTTTTCGATTTTAATCTTCGGCCCTTGAGGGAGTTGCACCGGTCGCTGGGTGGAGAATGAGCATTTATTGGTTACGGTTTTAAGGCAAGGGATGTCAGTTGTTCAGTGTGGACGTAGAAACTTTTAGATTGATTACGTAATTATTTCCGTGTCCATGCGCAGATTAGTGTGGGTGGGTTTAAAGTCTTGGTGCAGGTTTTGAAACCAGTAGAATGATTGTTTTCGCTTTAGAGCAGTAAACGAGTTGGAACCTAGTACTGTGGGGTTATAGTGTTGCTCACTTGTTGAAATAATATAAAGATGTTTCGTGTGGGTTTTTTGTGAATGTGGAACTATTTGAATTGATGAGAGAGCAAATTAAACTGTTTTACTGTTGATGACTTCGAGTTGTTGAAGTGAATGCGTCGTCACTAATGACAGCGAGTAGCTAATATATGTTTTATTTTTGAAGGCGTACATAGTTTCGCAAGTTGTTATCGGACTTTAGGAATTTACATCTGAATAAAAAAGATAAATATAAAATGTTAGTGTATTTATCGTTATAGCTTATGTTTTGATTGTTATGGTATTTTATAGAAATGCGCTGATCTTTTGCCATAACTTTTCATTTGGTGACACGTTGAATGTGTTGGATGTAAAAAGAGATTTTTTATCGCATTAAAAAAATTTATTTACAGCTCTGGATTGGTTTGGTGTGTATTTTGGTTTTCCTCAGTAGCATTTATTCAGAGTAGCTGTATGTGTTATCGTATTTCGGAATTTTACAATCAAGATGATGAGTTTGTTATGGATGATGGAACTTTAAAATTTATTATGAAAATGATTGCTACTTTAAATATAATTGTACTGATTCAAAGAAACATGCAGTTTTATGTTGTGTATTTACAGTACATAGAAGTAGTTAAATAATAATTTAAATACGTTTAACGAATGTCATATTGAGTTGACTGAAAAAAAAAGAAAATTGAGTTAATTCGTGATAATTTTATTTCTTAGGTTTCGATAAACTCTATTTGGAATTCCAATAATTGTGGTTGTTTCGGAAATTTGCAAAGAGCTGTTTATGACGGTTTTATTAGTTAGTTGAGTATTTATTGAAAGTACTATTATGATTATATAGTTTCAGGTCGAAATTCGAAGTAAACGAAATCATGCAACTTTTTAAGTGTCGATTAAGAAATTGCGAGGGTAGCAGCGAACCGTTTGAAGTTTTGTAGTTAAGTCATTTCGTACATCTGATCTGTGCTTCTCTAAAATTTTGATTTTATGATGGTTTTAAGTGAGTGTTGGTTATGTTGAGTTATAGAACAACGAGTCTGTTGTTGCGGTTCTGAATGCTATACTGAGTTTTATGCGTCAATAGATGTCGGGCGAGTTCAATAGTAATATTACAGTAATTGTTGAAACAGATATATATATATATATACATTTTTGCATTGAAGATCGCAAAATAAACCAGTTGAGAATTTTTTATTAATTTAATTTAATAATTTAAATGTTGTTTTCTTTCAAGTAATCTGATTGGTCTTATTGGCGGACTTTCAAATCTTATGGAAATAAAATTGGATTGTTCGATTGAAATATTTTTATGTGGAATTTTTTTGTTCCGTAATTATAATTATTGGATAAATATGTTTAAGTTATTTACCACATTTTCGACCAGTTTTGTATTAATATTAGATAAACATCACGTTTTCTCGTTGGATTTGATTCGAAACATAGGTTTATTTTATGTCCCATGTGGTTTGTTCAATCATCTCGAAATCAATTAACTAATATATTCAGAATCATACCGTTATCTATTACATAAATTATTTTTATTACACATAGTTACAAGTTTTTTTTGCTGAAATCTTGCTTCATTTTCATCATATTTCTTTTGGAAAAGTTTCACTACACGAAAATATTTTCTAACTCATGTCCTGTTCTTTGTCATTTGGCCATCTCAGGAAAAGTATCCAATTATTTTAATTGCTGCTATGTTGAATAGTAATTGAAGTTTTTAAATGTGAACGAGATGAAGATTTTAATTAGAGTTATTACTTTGTATTCTTTTTGTTGTTTATAATAAAAAAAAGTAAATACTGTAGAAACAAAGTCTTTATATTTATAAAACAAAGACAAATAAATAAAAATCTCTTTATTTTTTAAAAGATAAAAATAACGCAAATCATCATACTTATAAAATAAAGATAAAGATTTTCTTTATCATCATTTTATGAATATAAAGCTTTCATTTATAGAGCTTTCATTTATATTTATTTTATAACAACAGGTTTGATGTATATTTATTGGCATTTAAGTTTTTTAAATTTATTTATATTTGTATTTATTTCTATTTCTATTTATTTTGATTTCTATTTTTTTATTTTTATTTATAATTATTTTACATGGTGAAAAAAAATTAACATTCCTAATTTTGGTCGCAGAAAACGCTATTTTTGCTTTCTGATTTACATTTAGGATAATAGTTGCTGAAATAAAAGATATAATTGAATATAAGTTGAGTTGTACAACCACACAATTATTGTTTTTGATAGATAAAAGCCAAAAAAAAACAGTAGAATCTGGAAGTTGATCGACATATATTAGGTAATGACATAACATGTGTTACTAAAAAAATAGAGACATGTCTACCAATATTTTCATGTGTTCATAATGGGTTAGAGAATTAATGTTTTTTAATTCATAAGAACGAAGTGCCTTCAGTTCATTATATATATTAAACAAAATGTTATTATATCGATAATTCATAAGAAAATCATCCAAAACTGAAGTCATTTTAAATTGTTGATGCTGAGTTTGTCCTCTATTATGTTTAAAATTTTCTATTTGTCTGAAAAGTATGTCTGTGCTACTCTGGCATCAACTTCTAAAAGTTGGTACAGTTTCCCGAATGCCGTCACAACAATTAACTTTTCGTTCTATTTAAAAGTAACTTTCCTTCAGTTTTTGAGCACCTAGAAAATGTCTTGAACGTCTTCTTATCCAGTTTTTCTTAGAGCACTACTTTCAGACGAAACAAAAATTTAAGTTGTAACAACATTTTAGGCAAATTTGGTATAACTTTTGCTTCTGAATTTTCAGCTTGCAAAAATTTATCTATCATACATCATGAAGTAAATCGTTACTTATTTTCCATAAGACAAGAACTATCCAGTTTATCAAAAACACATTAAGATGCTGCTAGATATTTTCCCATTCTGTTTGCATACTGTGTTGCACGCTAAAGTGTAGAATGATAAAGAAGTATTCGAGTTCAAATAAAGAATTAATATCCTGTATTGGACATTCGCGAATATAAAAAGATTCTTACAGAAAGTTTATAATGAAAAATCGATCTAATTCTAGTACCTACAGCTTCTCATATATGGAAATGAATCCAGAACATTTAAAACAGTCAATCAAATTTGATAAAAGGCTAAACACAGTTTCAAGGGAAGATAGTTTCTAAATATCTCATTGTAATAGGGTAAAGAATAGTTTCATTGAAAGTTATGTTTTCTCACTACAAATTCTATGACTTAAAATTCATTTATTCATTTCAGATAACGACTGGTGCAACGCCAGAGAAGCTTTTCTGGCGTAATTTTGATTACGCAAATATGATTGATTATAATCTTGTTGAAATTTATGGACCACAAGTAACAAAAATTTTTGAAACACAAGCAAAGTTCTTGCTTCAAGATGCTCGTGTCCTTGCCCTGGTTACAACATCGTCAATAGCTTATTTTTCGAATCAATCAACAATCTTACTTGATAATTGTAATTATATGAAAAAAGGTCTTGCTTCGTACAGTTTAATTACAACATGTTCCGGTGTATTCATTTTAACAAATGGTGAACACCAATTTGCTCTTTTTGTGTACTCAAAAAGTGAGTACACTCTAGAATCGGTCAGTATGTCCGTCCGTCCGGCCGTTAACACGATAACTTTTGAAAGGAGAGTCCAACAGCGATGAAATTTTCTACACAGTTCAGTCTTAACAATGTCTCGGTCGAGTTCGAAGATGAGAAGAATTGGCTGAACCATTCCTGATTTATTGCAAAAATACTCATTTTTTCCTATGGGTTCCTATGCGAAAATCGACCCATCACCGCTTTCGTAAAAAACTTTTCCTATCATACTCAAAATAAAACCCCAACTATTATATACCATTCGATAGAGAATTTCACGAGCTACAAAATGGTATATAAAGCATTAAAAATTTGAGCTCAAACTTTTGAGCCAAGGAAAGGGTTTTTTGAGAAAACAACGATATTTTATAAAGGTTGACGAAAGCAAATCGGGGTCGAGGAATCTGAATTTGAAGTCATACTTTGAAAATTTTGAACTCCATTTTTTGGGTCAAAGAAAGAGTTTTTTAGGAAAACAACGATATTTTATAAAGGTTGACGAAAGTAAATCGGGGTCGGTGAATCCGAATCTGAAGTCAGATTTTGAAAATTCTAAACAAAAGTTGTTGGATTAAGGAATCGTTTCTTCACTTTTTTATCTCACAACTTACTCACTTGGGTGTAGTGAATTTATAGATTAAACTGTTTTCTGTCCAATTGAGACCTTCTTTAGCTCAAAGGACCAAACCGTTCACGAGACAAGGTTAAAATGCCGAGCATACACTCAAGATAGTTAATTTTTATTATTAAGCTGTCTGAAATATTCATCCTTGAGCGCACTAAGGAACTGCCCCTTAGGACCTGCGGATGCCCTCTTTTTGTCCCGTCGGACGTGGCGATGAGTTAGTTCTGGAAGTTTTATTCATTCGCATAAACTTCTTTGCTTTAGCTGAATCGTGTTTCTTTTTATAAGCTCATGTTAATTATGTCAAAGTGCGGTACAAATTGTTGAGGATTATCTTCAAAAGGCAAGAGAGCATCATAATGACTACCATTGTAGTAAACACATAATCCTAATTTATTCATATCAGATTTGTATCCTACGTATTTCAAATGGCCACCTGCTGTCCGTTCATTAAATCGATCGATCAATTCCTCCAAGCT